GAGAGAGAGAGAGAGAGAGAGAGAGAGAGAGAGAGAGAGAGAGAGAGAGAGAGAGAGAGAGAGAGAGAGAGAGAGAGGTGCTGCTCTCTATTGTTGTTTTGATATAGACAATAATATGAAAATGCAAGAAAATTAAGGAAACAACATGAGACATTTTCACTGTCACGAAACCTTTGCCATTGTTCGCATCATAATTTGGCAGTTAGCGTCCTTTTTTTTTTTCTTATTATTATTGGTCAAAAGCATCGTCCGTGGACCGACTATTGGAGCTGATACGGGCATCCTCCGAACGTGGGAATGTCCCGACCGGCGCCTAATTGCTGCATTGCCAACCAGGTAAGCGAAGATGAAGGTCCACCATAGCCAAAGGTATGTCTTCCTTGTGGTTCCCTCCTCCTTCCTTCTCCTCGCGCCTGCTTCTGTCCTCCTCCTTTCTTCATAGCCCAGTGTGAGCATCTACTACCCACCTGCTTCTGTGCTCCTCCTATCTCTGTAGCCCAGTGTGAGCATCTACTACCACTCCCTCCATAGCTAATGTCCAGTTATGTCCTCCGTTAGCAAAAATTCAGTTATGTCCTCCGTTAGCCAGATTTCAGTCCTGTCCCTGAAACTGCACCTAGCCAAATTTCAGTTATGTCCTCCGTTAGCCAAATTTGAGTCATGTTCTTGAAACTGCACCTAGCCAAATTTCAGTTATGTCCTCCGTTAGCCAAATTTGAGTCATGTCCCTGAAACTGCACCTATTTGCTATCCTGCCCCTTACCGAGACACAGAAACACAGTACGGAACACAGAGTTAGCAGAGCGGCACAGACCTGGGCTCAGACACTCACATCAGAAAATGCATCAAGACATGTTTTGGCTAAGGGTACGTCCTCTGTTAGCCAAATTTCACTCATGCCCCTGTAACTGCACCCTATCTGCTAGCCTGCCCTTGTCGGAGACACGGTAACACAGTACGGAACACAGAGGTAGCAAAGGGACACAGACTTGCTCTCGGAGACAAGCACATCAGCAGGACCGGAATAAGGTAATCAGTGATCAGAGCAAACAGATCAGTACACAGCATGGTTGCATCCCTGCCGACCGCTGCCCCCGACCGCCGACCGTATTGCAGCCGACCAGTAGGGCCGACCGGTCGGCGGTCTGC